GGCAGGATTGCCTTGGATGGTGCAGTAATGGCTGTTTGCTTGTCTGCAAGTGTTCAGGTGAGCAAAAGACTGGAACCAAAGGTTAAATCTTTAATATAACAGAACACAAGTTGCGGTTCCTGTTGTTGATGGTATCTCTTTCTGCCAGCCAAGTCAGCAGGCTCTATCTTCATGGGATCTTTTGGGAAGAACTCATTATCCTGAACCTGCTCTTTCATTAACGTGCTTCCTCCAGCTGGTTCTTGCTGACAGTGAAGGCCACGTTGTGTCCATCTGCCTAAACAAAACCTTTTGTAATGCACTGAGGGAATGTTGTGGGACAGGATGACTTAAAACTCTAGCTGATAATTCTGCCTCCCCAGACTGCCGTGCCCTTGGGAAGGAGAGGAGCACACGTGCAGCTGATGGATCTGTGGTAACAGCTGAGGAGCCTGCCTGTTTTTGTAGGTTTCTTGGGCTGCTTGTTCCACCCATGGACGTTCAGCTCTGTGTCCCCAGGTCTGACTTGCTGACAGTGGCAGCTTCTGCAGCTCCTGGTAGCATGTGGCTCTTTCCAAGGGAAGAAGCAGCGTTCTCTGTCCCCTCTCCCTGCACGGGGTCACTGTGCCCTGTTAATCCACGGTGTGTTTTGTGTTAGAAGTGGGGCTGGATCAGAACTGGGGGAGTGCTCCTGCTTGCTGGGACTGTGTGTACCTGTACCTCAAGACCACTTCCTCCTCCCCTGATTTCCAAACCAAAGCAATCGCTGTTCCCTCTGGCTGTGCTGCTCCTGAGCTGGGCAGGCTCCTGCCATCCCTTCAGACTCTGCTTCTGTGATGTTAGGCACCAGAGCCTCATTAAAACCCAGAGTGGAAAAGTTTTCCAAAGCAAAGTGAGACCTCTTGAAGAAAGGGAGGGCTTTGCAACTAAGTTTACACCAAAATAAGCTATTTCAGCCTCAATCTTTCTTTGACCTGATAGCAGGTAGGTTTTGAACCACACTATATGATGGGTTTGCACGTAGAACAAAACCTATTTCCCTATCTAAGCAGCTGCTACTATTTTTATCATTGATACAGTACCAGCCTTGATGCACACTGAGTGCTGGCCCCATTCCAGCTGTATTCCTAAGCAATCCCATAACGCTCCTCCCAGTTTTATTTGAATGCAGCGTTTCCTGGGCCTCGCTCTGCAGCCTCCTGCCTGCTCTGGTGTGCTGGGGAAGAGCTGCTGCCCTTCGCTTTGGAGGTGGCTCCTTTTCGGCAGGAGGCGAAGCAAGCGCGCGACCTCCCTCGCTGTGCTGGTGCCGTGAGCTTTAATGAGCTAATTTTTAGAATTGCAGATGCAGATTTGGGTCGATGGGGTTATGAATGGGGAAGACATCGCTTTTTGTTAAAGGACAAATCTAGGAGGAAGGCTGGAGCTTTCCAGTTGCTTTTCTGAGACCTGCATTCACTCACCTTACAAAAACTACTGAAACACCTGAACTTTTCCATTGGTGTGGGATAGGAATCGCTGTATGTGCTGCTGTTTCAATCCAGTTTCTCCCAAGTTACTGGTCAAGTGCCCCATGCAGATATGCCTACCACAAGAGTGTTATTTTTCACTGATAATATAAGAATAATTTTAAGCATATCAAGAAACTGTTTGTCCAGGGGAGCCCTCTGACACTTCCTCCTTTAAAAGCTGTGATAGCTCAGCTGATGCCACCATTAATTTTGTTAAAAATCCCTAGTGGGAGGACAGTGATGATAAGGACTGGGAAGCATGCCAGTCCTCTGAGAAAGGTTTACCTGTCTTGTAAATTCCTTGGTATGATGGAGGGAGGGGAAGGAAGGAGAGAAGAAAATGGTAAGAATGCCTGGAGTGGAGTGGATTGTTTGGGATAGTGCTGAGTGGGACCACGCCAGATTCCTGCCTTTGGGAGTAGATTTAGGTAGGTGGGGCCTTAACATCCTTCTGGAAATTGTTCTGAGGGCTGCGTGTTCTTACCTGAGCAGGAGGGCTGGGCAACTGGCGTACGTGTTGTGTTCCCTGGGTCTTGGGTCCTTGGAGCCATGCATTCATATTCTGCTCAACTCTGCTGATCTCTTTATATTCCCAGATCAGTAATTTAACTTTGAGGTACATGTTTATAGTCTGGGGAGAGACACAAGAAAAATTTTTTGATTAACAGGAATAAAATAATCTCAATTCATAGCTCTGCATGAACATTGGGAAAAGCAGTTGTCTTTCTGCTTTTCTTTGGGTCATCCCAGGCACTGTTTGGGTGATATTTCTAACCTCAGGGCTGTATTTTGGTGGAATGGCAGAAAAAGGCTTATCTTGAAGAACTTTAGAGGATGAAAGGTGTTATGGAAACTCAGAAGAGTGACGTCTGTATTCTGGGGAGCTGCTATCAGATGAAAGCGTACTTCTGTGTCCTCAGACAAGCAATTTGGAAGGTGCTAATTCCTTCCCAGATCTGTTGCTTTTGAGATAGTGAGTCCTGGCTCACATCTGAGGGACTAATTTGGCTGAACCAATGTAGCCCAGCAGTGAGAGCACCACAAACCCATCTCCAGTGCTGTTAGTCTGTGTTTTCCTCACTCTGACCCTGTAAATCAGTGGTCCTTGCTGAGCTGCAGGTCACTGGTGGTCTCTGTCAGTGGGCTGCAGGTCTTGCACAGTACCATGTTAAAAATAAACTCAGCAAACAGTCCTCTGTGCTTTTGAAGGATCACTGTGGTCAGTTAGACATGGTGCTGGTGCCTGCTGCTTGGCCATGCTTCCTGAGCGTGCTGGGTATTTTATTGTCCTGCCATATGTGGTTTGTCAGAGCAGAGCAGTGGTGCAGGGCTGCTGCCGCCTGCCAGCGCTAAATGGTGAATATCTGTGTGAATTCCTTGTGCCAGGGAAGAGCAGCACAAACCCCACGGGGTTATCGCTCTCCCAGCATCTCTAGTAATGAGGCTCCCCTTGGGAAAGGCGGGTGAATTCAGTCTGCTTCGTCTCTGACCTCTTTCAGCAAAAGCAAGTGAAGGTGCTGTTTGTAAATAGGTTTATTGTAGTCACCAGTGCTGGGAATATTGACATCTAAGATCTTTCCCAGACACTAATCGAGGACCCAGCTCAAATGAATGACCTGC